AAAGTTTGACGGCTTTTATAACAATTGTCACGATTACTTGACCATGATTGGCCTACTTTTACAGAATCTGATGATGGTGATGGCGATGCTACTAATGCAAGAATAAATTCTAAAGCCAAACAGTTTGCGACCTACGATGGACCGGATGATGATGATCTTGAGATCATTAAGGAAAATGACCTTGCATTTCGCAATGAAGACTCAGAAACGGATGAAGGTGATGAGCGGACAGAAGATATGGATGACGATACGGACCAATCACAAGAGTTATTCTCTAAGTTGCGAGATAAAACTAAAAGATCAGATTTACGGGACAAAATCGTGGAGTCTTCAACCTATGTCACCGATTACCAGTTTGACCATACCAATTCACGTTGGTGTGATATAGAATTGCAGGTATTATTTTAACTGTTATTTATACGAAAGTTGCAATTATTATTAATTTATCCTCTTGTATATTAGTTTCCCGCTGATTCCAAAAAATTGTTATTGCTAAGCCTAGCTGAAGATGCATGTAAAAAGACCGTTATCCGTGAAGTTAGTGGAATTAACAAAAGTTATCCAATCACGAGTGATATTGAGGGAGATACATCAGTAAGATACACTCGAAGTTCTAAACTGACAATTGTTTAAAATTTTAGTCATTTGCTTACATTATATCTTTTTTAGAAAACTATTGCGACTGAAGGAGTTAATTTTCGTCAAATATGGTTATATGATGACATAATCGACATTAACAAAATTTATTCTAATGATATCGCCGCTATTCTCAAAAACTACGGGGTCGAAGCTGCAAGAGGGGCTATAATGAAAGAGATATCAGATGTATTTGCAGCGTACAGTATAAACGTAGACCCAAGGCATTTGACACTTGTTGCGGATTATATGGTAAGTTATCACTGTTGTTACTAAGGCGATTGCAGATATTTTTAACACTTGAATTTATTGGATCACTTTATTTAAAGACTTTTGAAGGAACGTTTAAACCGTTTAACCGAATGGGTCTTGCATCTAATTCATCACCTTTTCTTCAGATGAGTTTTGAGTCTACTTGCAATTTCTTGACTCATGCAACGCTTAATAATGCTACTGATACATTAAATTCGCCATCGGCAAGATTGGTACTTGGCAAAGTTGTACAAGGCGGTACTGGTATTTTTGAAGTTCGTCAACTATGTAAAACTTATTAAATTTAAAAAATGAACCATTGTTTATAGCAGAATCATATTTATTTGTTAAAGATTTCAGCAATTATTTTTCCATAGTTTGGAAATTTTGAATTGTTTGCTGTTAGAGTTACGAAGTTTGTTTTTAAGCTCCCACATTATAAGATAAAAGCCAAAGTTATTATGGCTTTCATTTTATATATACATTAAACGGATTCGTATCTGCACCGTGAGAGGTGTATTCATGTATCTTTTCTTCGAGATACATATTGAACGTGGTAGGAAGCCAGATTTATTTACATTAATATAAATATAAATAACGATAATACATAATAAGCCTTAAAAAAACGATGATTTTTTCAGGTAATAAAATAATTAAAACATGTTTTTTGACCACGCTTCTCAAGTCAATATAATGTTTTTAAAAGAAAAAAAAAAATTTTACCCAAACTGCTTTTAGCGTTAAAGTATGAGAGCAAGCGACCCTTTAAATAAATTTTTGTCGCACATTGAACGGATAGAAATCGATGTGACGATTAAAAGGGGTTAAAAACCATCTTACTTTATCATTATCATTTAAATGCTATAAAATATATAAAATTCAATTAGATAGATGGTAGATTTGAAGATTTAGCCAGCACTTTGATGCAAACTTAAGACGTTACTTTCTTTGTTGAATGGCAAAGTCATCAGATCTTAAAGGAACAAAATGACTTCATTGTTCGTCGATGAGACTTTACGCTGTGTATCTCATTACGACTCCATCATTGGTCCACAATAGGCCGAATATTTCTATAATAGACCTCTCGTGAAAAAAATATAGACTATCTGATCATATTCTTACAGTTTGGGG